ATTTTCCTATTTTAATTTTTGTTTTGAAAGTATGGTAAAAACTGGTCAAATGTACCAACAATCACATTTAAAAATATATACACTTTTTGTTATACCATTAAAAAAAAAAAACAGGTAGCCCATCTGAATTAGGACATTTAGGCTATCCATCTAATAGTAGCCTACCAAAATCTTATTAACAGTAGAAGTTCAATCTTACTGTAGTCTTCAAATCCGGGTACTGTCTTACGTTTTAAAATCACAAAGGGAGTTTGGTGCCATCAGGCTAATGTGACAGTCACGACTCATGCAGCTGTAAGGTTTTCTTTTTCTTTTGTTTTACTCGCGATCTTTACAACATGCGTCACATTACGTATTTCATGGCACACTCGTTTTATGCGTATTTGGCGCCACCTATTGTTGTGGGTGTATTATTGACATGTCAAAGTCTAGACCCTGAATATAAGACGACCGCGTTTTTTCATTTGTTTTTCCAAGAAAAAAACATTGTCTTATATTCAGGACAATACGGTAATCATTTGTAATTGTATATACATTGTTGTGATTAATTGTGGCTGGAACAATACTGTAGCTGTAAAAATAGTTGCCTGCTGAAATTGAAATGTATATACATCTTCATCATGACTATATAGACACGGTGAGTTTGTCTTTACTTTACATGTTAGATGTGATCCACCTCATAGTAACAATCCTGTCAGATCGTCCATCCTTTGAGTGAGAGTGTAACGTTACAGGTCGTCCGATCTGGTTTCGTGGTTAAAGTTAACCTTTTCGACATGTTTCCGTGTTGTTGTTGCTCAGCAATGGCATGGGCGCGATGTTGTCTGGGGGTTTGGCAAAAGGAGAGTGGGACGGTGGGCGGTGGGTGGTAACTGAAGGCGGTGACTGTGTAGTTCTGACGTCAACTTTTTACGGAAGTCACAATGGTTCGTGAAAACTAGCTAGAACTTTAAGCAGGCTGTGTGAATTTTACTGTGGACTGACTGATAGAAGTCTGTCTAATAATAATCAGATAGAACAGTTAAACAAAGGAATTAAAATGTATCCACCTTTTTCTTGTCGTAAAAATGGGCACGGCCATTTGGAAAATATATGGGTATGGTTTCCGGTTTCATCTGCGTCCACTCCGTCCAGCTATTTTTAGCTGAACAAAACAGTTCGTTTTGCTGCTTGATATTGAAAGTTGGTGTGTCTTATCATATTATTTTAATGTATTATCTGAAATTATGAACACACTGGTTTGTAGTGCAAACAGTTTTACCGTTTACTGCACGTTGTTATTCTCCTCGTTATTTACCTATAGCGGCTAATGAACCGGAAGTCTCACCCATAGGCTTACTTCCGCGTTGAAGAAAAAGGTGGATAG